CTCTTCTACCTGTAACACCCATCATCATGACCATTACGGACTTCACCGTGCGCAAAAAGAGCTACCGCTATCTCACCACCCAGGCGAGCTACCCAAACCATGATTCCAAGGCGGTCCTCGATGCCTTCGATCCCACCAAAGACCTTCAGTTGCAAGATCTGACCGTCCTTGGACCAAAATATCTGACGGCGAATCAGCAAGCTCGATTCAACAGCATTCATCGTCAGGCCTATGAGATCCACCAAAGGGCTGAGCGCAACTGCCGGAAACTGCTGATGGGTAAAGTTCACTGGTCACCACAAATGCAGCAGAAATGGGATAGGCTGCACCTTTACCATCTCCTGATCTTGGGCCATAAACAGGTCAGAACTAGTTCACGGAAGGCGCCGCGTTTGTTGAAGAAGACAGGGCTGAGCGATGCATGGAAATTGTTGGAGTCTGCCCTACAGGCAAAGTGGCACCTTGAATACCAAGCCTACAAGGAGGTCAAGCGGAAGCGGGTACAGCAGTGGCGCCTGGAATATCTGGAGAACCGATCGGCAGCGGTCCAGAAAGCAAAGAAGAGCAACATCAAAGCCCGTACCAGACGGACTCAAGTCCAGCGGATGGCACAAAAAGAGGAGACCCGACGGCGCAGGAAAGCCCAAGGCAAAGGCTTCTCTGGCGGCCTCCAGCAGATCAAAGTGGCACAAGATGGTACCTCCCATTAGGTAACATGCCAGTCTAAACGTCTTGTGGAAGAAGGCTGCATGCAAGAGAACCGGCTCCATTATGACCAGACCCGCTACCCCTACTCCACTCCACCAATGACTGAACCTTTGTACTCCAACTTCAATGGCCCCAACGCCAAAGGGAACAGCCAAGCACTGCTCCGGGGTCTCTATGAAGTTGAGACAGCGGACCCTTACCTGGTGTCATTCCTGGACCATTGCCGAAGGCCGGAGGGCTTGGAAGACCAACCACTGGAAGTGGATCTGGAGGATCATGTTAGCTTCTGGCGTAAGATGGTGGAACACAAAGGTTTGGAGCCACACAGCCTGCATAATGGCCATTTCAAAGCGGGAGGAGCATCCAACTTGCTCGCCTGCTGTGACACGATCTTTCGCTCCATCCCTTTTGCTACAGGATTTGTCCCAGCCCAGTGGTGCCACTTGCTCAACTTTGCGATTGAAAAGAAACCAGGCGAGATTTGGGTGGACCTCATGCGCACGATTCAAATGATGAATTCAGAGCTGCCGGCCAGCAACAAGCGAGTGGGGCCTATGCAGAGCAGCACAACTTGATCCCAAAGGGACAACACAGGTCTCGCAAGCGTCACCAGGTCATCGATCTGGCCCTTATGAAGCGTCTCACTTGGGACCTCTTGCATCTTCAACGCAGCCCTGCCGGGTGGATCTCCAACGATGCCAAGTCCTGCTTTGACCAGATTGTCCACTGCGTGGCAATCATTAGCCTCATGCGCTTTGGGATCCAATGGCATACCCTTTGCTCCATGTTTGATACACTGATGAAGTCTAAGCACCAGGTGCGTACTGCTGGGATATGACGAAATATGAGTTTTTACGTTCCAAAAGAAACTATTCAAGTACAAAGTTTTTGACACGTGCGATCGAGCTTTGATCCTAATGTCAGGATTTGAAGCAAGTCTGCCAGACGCAAGTCTGTCGGACAATCTGTATCCACAAAAAAAGGGAAAGACCCTATACAAGTGGAATATGGATGTTGTGTACAATGCAGTAGGGAATAATACAAGATGTCCCAAAGTACTGCATTCAACACAGAATCCTCGTAGAAGTCAAATCGAGTTCTGTAAACAAGGGATTTTCCAAGGGAAAATTGTTGAACTCACTTTTGTGATTGAATCATCAATTCAAGCCAAACATTAATCAAATAGGAA